TGGCCCTTAGCATGCTGCTTCCTACAGACCATCAGTCAACTGAACCAGGACTCCAACTCGTTCTTGTTCCTGCTCCCAAGAGCTGCCCAGGCTCTTTGCACCCCCAGTTCTGGATGGCCCTCCTGAAGCTAAATGAGCATGGGCAAGTTCCTTTCGGCACCTGCTCAGGCTACTGGGCTCACTCACATCAGTGGGCTTCCCTTCACGCCCACTTCCCTGTGACAGCAAGGGACTGTCAGCATAGTTCCAGAGGGCAGGCATGGAGGCTTCTGTCCCACACATCATATGCTGAAGGCATCTTGGACCAAAAATGCCTGGGCAGTGGTTCAGGAAAGCAGCAAGAAGGAAGAAGGGACCCTAGTAGCTGGAGCTACAAAAGACCTAAAAAACATGCACATAAAAGTTAGATTTAAACCACCAGCCCCCAGGGGTACCTGGCTGGCTCAGTTGGAGGAGCATTTGGCTCTTAATCTCGGGGTCATGAGTTCAAGCCCCAAGTTGGGTGTAGAGATTACTAAAAAAAAATAAAAATAAAAAAATTTAAACCACCAGCCCCCAAACCAAGGCCAGTGACAAAGGGAACAGAATGGCCTAGTCTCTCAAACAGCCTCAGATTTTTATTCTTAAGGTCCATGTGAATTTTACACATATTGAAATACAGAAGGAGGAACTCAGTACCTAGTGAAGAGGGTCACTTGTGTGAACTCCTTCCGCCCCCCGGCTATACGGGTTAATTCCAGCAGGTCTGGGATTCACCTGGGACTGACCCTGGTTAAGGCATGAGCACACTGATTAATAGTGTTGCTTTATAACAATGCCCCCGAGGAGTTTGGGGTGGTATGTACGAGCTTGTCAGAATTGTGCTTTGATAGCAATGAGATTGATGATTTGCACCTGGTCTAGATGAGCACCGCCACCCACCCAGAGGCTCTGCCATTTGGAGGTGGTTATATAGTGAGGATATGCTTGCATGACAAGTTACAAGAAATCTGGACCAAGAATCTGGGGCTCTGAAGTGTTCCAGGTACCCACTGGTGGTTCCTGATTTGAAAGAGCATGCCCTGCCACAGACCTTAACAGAGGGAGGCAATAGGAGCTGGGACTTGGCTTCCCCAGGCCCCTTGCCATGAGCAGCCTCTGGCTGTGATGGTATCTCTGCTTTGATGGTGTTGCTATGCTATAATAAACTGTAGGTTTGCAAGCACTATCATTTTGGACCTCTAAGCCTTCTTCAGTAATTGAATCTGTTTAGCTGTTACTATTAGTGCATCCCCACTGATGTAGGTTGAATTGTGTCCCCCCCCAATTTCCTGTGTGGAAGTCCTAACTTCTAGTAACTCAGAATGTGACCTTACTTGAAAGTAAGGTCATTGCAGATATAATCAATTAACATGAATCATTACTGGAGTAGCCTGGGCCCCCAATCCAGTATGATTGATAACCTTATAAAAAGGAGAAATTTGAACACAGGGAGAACTCCATGTGAAGACTGGCATTATGCTTCCACAAACTAAGCAATTACCAGAAGCTAGGAGAAAGGCCTGGAACAGATCCTTCCCTAGTGCCTTCTGAGGGAGCATGGTCCCACAACTTGATCTCCAAATAAATTTGTTGTTTAAGCCACCCAGTTTGTGGTACTTTGTTATGGCAGCCTTAGCAAGCTAGTACACCTGCTGGAAGGCTCTGTTCTATCCTTCACCATCTGCAACAAATGCTATAGTCAACTCAGGTGCCCCCTAGGTCCCAATGGGGACCTCCATGTGGGACCCTATGACTTTAACTCTCTTCTCCCCATGGAAACGTGTTCTCTTTTTTTTTTTAAGGGAGCTCTGCCCTGAGATCAAGAGTCGCATGTTCTACAGTCAGGCACCCCTGTTTTCTTTTTAGCAAAAAGTGCTGTTACCGCCTCTCAGGATACAAGGAGTTTGCCCATAGCATCCCCATGCTTGCCCAGAGCCCTACATACTCTGCTCTCCAAACAAGATGTGCTGACCAGGTTCATAGTCAGCTTCAGACGAAGCAGGGCCTTAGAAATCAGGTCGTCCAGGGGCGCCTGGGTGGCTCAGTCGGTTGAGCGGTTGCTTTCAGCTCAGGTCATGATCCTGGGGTCCTGGGATCGAGCCCCGCATTAGGCTCTATGCTCAGCGGGAAGCCTGCTCCTCCCTCTCCCACTACCCCTACTTGTGTTCCCTCTCTCACTGTCTCTCTCTCTGTCAAATAAATAAAATCTTTAAAAAAAAAAAAAAGAAAGAAAGAAAATCAGGTCGTCCAAACCGTGCAATTTACGGCTAAGGAAGATGAGGACGAGCAAACGGGGATCATTTTCCCAGGGTTGCACACATAGCTCATTAATATATGGGTCGTGATAACAGCCCAGGAATTCTGGTGCTCAACCCAATGCTATTCATTGGTTCAATCCTAGATTTTTTTCTCCAGGGATGACTTGTCACCAGCTGCCCTAAAGTGTGTCTGTCTTGCTCATTAGAAGTTAATTGCTTTTAGAAGAGGAACTTGATTGAGTCATCTTATAGTCCTCCAGTGTGTAGTTGTTGAATAAATGTTTTGATTGATCAGAACATCCCCTTCTGTTTAAAGCTAATAGATCCACAAGAGAGTAAGATTCTAGATCAGTGTTTTACAAAGTGTGCCCAGGGAACCCTTGCATGGGTATCACTGCTGACTTAGTTTTAAGAGAAACGTCCCCAGCTTCCACTGCAGATCATATATTGAGAATCTCTGGTGGGGAAGCACGGAAAACAGGCCCCAGGTGATACTTAATCCACAGTAAAACCATGACTCTCAGCTTTAGCTGCACACAGGAATCACCCACCTAGAGAGTTTTTTTAAAATGCAGATGCCTGGGAGCACCTGGGTGGCTCAGTCAGTAGGCATCTAATCCTGGGTTCCTGGGATCAAGCCCCTGTATCAGTGCTCCCTGCTCAACAGGGAGCCTGCTTCTCCCTCCCACTGCTCATGCTCTCTCTCAAGTGCTCTCTCTCTCTCTAATAAATAAAAAAAATTTTTTTAAAGAAAAATGCAGATGCCTGGGGGTGCCTGGGTGGCTCAGTCAGTTAAGCCTCTGCCTTCAGCTCAGGTCATTATCCCAGGGTCCTGGGATGGAGTCCGGATCGGATGGGCTCGCTGCTCAGTGGAGGTCTGCTTCTCCCTTTGCCCCTCCCCCCTGCTCATGTGTGCTGGCTCCCTCTCTCTCAAGTAAATAAAATCCTAAATAAAATAAAATAAAACGCAGATGCCTGCATCCCACCCCGAGAGTCTAAATTAATTGGTCTGACTTCAGTCTAGGTCCTGGGATGTTTTGGTTTTTTTTAAGATTTTATTTATTTGAAAGAGAGAGGGGTGGGGAGAGGAGCAGAGGGAGAGGGAGAAGCAGGCTCCCAGCTGAGCAGGGAGCCCGACATGGGGCTCAATCCCAGGACCCTGAGATCAGGACCTGAGCTGAAGGCAGACACTAACCGACTGAGCTACCCAGGCGCCCCTAGGTCCTGAGATTTTTAAGAACTCCCCCAGGTGATGCTCTGTGTAGGCAGGATTGTACCCCCTGCACTGAAGTTTGAGAGATTTAAGCATTCTGTGTTAAGTGTCAGGTAACCAACTTACCAGTTTGCCCAGGACTTCCCTGGTTTTAAAACTCAAAGTTCCATGTCCTGAGAACCCCTTTAGTCCAGGAACAAGAAAACTGTTGGCCACCCTAGTAAAGACCTGCCTCTCCATGCAATTAAAGATCAAGGGGATACAGATATGCTGTGTTAGTAATGCAGCAAAGGACTGAACCTAATGCTTTCCCAGTTAGTCCCCGTTCCCCACCAGAGACCAAGTCTGGCTTCCTCCATTTCCTTCCATGGAGAGGGCTCACAGGGAACTGCAGTTTTGCTGCAGGGTGGTGTCTGCCCCACAGCTCTTAATCCTGATTTCCTGATAATTCAGAAAGCATTTCCATGTTGGCCCAAAGTTTTGTTTCCTGTTCCCTCCCACACTATTTTTAGGTGTAGCGGACATTTCCTGCCTCAGCCTGCCTCACCCACCTCAGTGTCTATCCAGCCTCTGACACCCAGCAGGCTGGGCCTGCAAGATGAAGTAGCTGTTCCCTGGGCTCTGGGACCCTGCTGCCCAGGGGAGCAGTGGAGCGCCCCACAGGTGGTGCTGCAGCTACCCCTGAGTGCCTGCTCTGACTTGCTGGGGACCCCCTTCCAGGTAAAATTGCTTCTTTGTTTACCTTACAAGCTAAAATAGTATTTTCTCATTTTTGTTTCCTTAGACCTGCTGTACCAAGCTTCATGTATCTTTATGCTTCTGTCTACAGCCTAAAGGCAGAAAAGCCCAAGATGATTAGCTAACTCTGCGGCAATCCCACAATGGATGCAAAGGTGCAGGCCTAACGGTATGTCTTTAGCCTCTGGTTTTCAAACACCTTCTGTAAAGCTCACAGAGATCTCATGAGGTGGTGAGAATCTCTATTTCCCAGGGGAAGAATCTGAAGCTCAAATAACTTACCTCAAGGTCACACAGTGGCAGAGCTGTCCCCCAATCCCAGTCTGACTGGCTGAAAGTCTGCCAGCATTCCTCAGCATTGCTCGTTGAGGAGGCTCTTTCCCCCCCAACTGCTCCCTGCCCCATAAAATTTAATACCACAGATACATACCCTCTATCTTTTTATGTACTATAAGGATACCTGTGCCTTATACATAAAAATAAGGCTTTCACTCCTGTTAAGAGTGCCAGCCTAGGGGTGCCTCGGTGGCTCAGTCGGTTAAGCGTCTGCCTTCGGCTCAGGTCACGATTCTGGGGTCCTGGGGTCCTGGGATCGAGCCCTGAGTCGGGCTCCCTGCTGAGCAGAAAGCCTGCTTCTCCCTCTCCCTCTGCTGCTCCCCCTGCTTGTGCTCTCTCTCTCTCCCCCTCTCTGTCTCAAGTAAAATAAATAAAATCTTAGAAAAAAGAAGAGTGCCAGCCTGGTTTGAGGTCTCAACAATTTGTTCTCTTACCTTGTAGGTGGAGAGGAAGAACAGGGAAACTGTAAAGAAGTTTCTTCCAGGGACGCCTGGGTGGCTCAGTCAGATGTCTGCCTTCTGCTCGGGTCATGATCCCAGGGTCCTGGGATCGAGTCCCACATCAGGCTCCTCTCTCTCTCTTTCTTTCTCCCCCCCACCAACAAATAAATAAAACCTTTAAAAAAAAAAAAAAAGTTTCTTTCAAACTAATGCTCCCCAGAACCCTAGTGTGAAGAGAAGAGATGGCTCACAAAAACAGCTCCGTGGCCTATTTGGGAAATGCTGAATGCAACACCACCCCACCTAGAAAGTCATCTTAACAAAATCTCTGAGTAAGCTACTTAAAAAAAACACACTTTATTTTTACACCAGTGTATCTTAATTTGAGTTGATCATGAGTCAATATCTCTTCTTCTTTCTCTTTCTCTCTACATTTGAAATTAATATTTATGCATTAATATTTATAAATTACTTTGAATTCATGTTTCCAGAGCATACTTTTGGAAATGTTGCCATAGATACAGAGCTGCTTTCTTTCCTGAAGTGAATCTTTCTGGTGATGTTTGGCCAAGAAGGTGAACAAACAGCTTTTCCATGATTCGGTCAAGCCAGGCCAGCCAGTCCACAGAGCTCTGTCAGGCCACAGAAGACCCGGCGTAGACCCTGCTCTCTGGGTCCTGCTCCAGCAAGGTGCAAGTGGCTGGCTGTCTTGAGAGCTGCCCTCCCCATGAAGCCACAAGCCAGTCACTTGAAATCCACTGCCTTTTCTCCACTGTCCTATCCCAGCCACAGCCTAAAGAAGGGGTCATAAACCTGACTTTCCAGTAGCTTTATGAAAGTCAGACTCCTGAGTCCAACCCCAGACCTAATATACTAAGATCTCTGAGCATCAGGGTATGAGTTTTGACACAGATGAGTCTGAGGACACCCATGCTTTGTACCACTAAATCACCAAATCTTGAATGCCCCCCCACACACCAGACCCCTTTGGGGACCAAAGCTTCAGTGCAGGTGGAGACCCCTGCTAACAGCCTCATGCGAGCATTTATCCTAAAGAAGCTTCCTAGCCTCTAGCCAAGACCCTCGAGAGGTGTGTGTTTTTGTTTGTTTTCTTAAAGGTTTTATTTATTTATTTGAGAGAGAGTGCTCACACAAGCTGGGGGAGAGAGGGCAAAGGCAGAGGGAGAAACAGAGTCCCCGCTGAGCAGGGAGCTCGATCCCAGAACCCATGACCTAAGCCAAAGGCAGACGTCTAACCAACTGAGCCACCCAGGCGCCCCTGAGAGGTGTGCATTTTATTCATCTTTTTGACCCCCACATCTAGCACAGTGTCAGATGTGTGCTGAGCAGTTAGTAAATACTTGTTGCATCAGAAACAAATGAGTGAACGAATCATCACAGGAGCAGAGCAAAGACACCAACCCATTCATCTGGCTGGGTCTTAAAGGTCCAGGGCCAGCTCTTAAGGGAGCCGGGGTCAGTAAAAAGCAGAACAAAGCCTGTACGGCACACCTGCCATTAGTCACGGTGTTTGTTTTGGAAACCTGCACAATGTAATTCTGTTAGCCTTCAGTAATTTGTTTGTTTGTTTTAAAAATCCTTCTTAGGAAAAACAAAGCAGTTGTGTATTGTGTGGAGTAAAAATGCCTGAACCCAGAGACATCCCCCACCCGCGCCCCCCCATCACCCAGTCACTGCCTGAAGTCCCGGCAGGGATGGAAATTCCTCTGCGGTCCTAAAGGAACTGTTCCACAAACGGCCACCTGATTAGGAACGACTGCACCTGTTGTCACACTGATTCTGTCATTCACAAGGGGCCTGAGATCTACAAAATAGGAGAGGAAGACAGCAACAGACTCTGGAAGAGGATGTGTCCAAACTACAGCCTTGGTGAGACTCCGGTCACCCTGCCACTCTTGGCCACCAGGGGGCAGGCCCAGGCTGGCTGACCCGACCACGGCCCTTGGAGTCCTGAAGAGTAGCCTGAGGCAGAGGAAGCTATAACAGGGTGGGAAACTAACAGGGACACACACACACCCCACACACGTACACCACAAATAACATATTCACACCCACACACCTACACCACACATACCACACACAGCACATACACACCACGCACATACCACAACACATTACACATACCATCCCTCACACCATTTTGGTAGATGCTAGCATCTCCTTTTTGCAGCTTATCTACCTCTTCCCCTCCCCTTTTCTCCTCAGTATCTACAAATTCCAAACTTCTCATCATCTTTTCCCTAATACTCCTATCCCATGCCTTTCTCTCCCACCATCCTCTCCCCAAATACCAACATTTTTCTTTCCTCCACCATCCATTCCTCAGAGGTAAAAATAAAGCCTCCCTCCAGCAGAACATTTTCTGCTTTGTCAAGTGCTTTCTCACCTGCTTCTCATTTGATTGTCTCAACAAGCCGAAGAGGCAAATATTATTACTGCCACATTATAAATGAGGAAACAGTCTTGAGAGGTTGAGTTCCTTGCCTGCTCACGGTGGACAGGACTAGAGGCCAACTCCTCAGGCTCCCAGGATGTCCCTTTGCCTCTGCAGCCCCCAAATACCTCAGCACCTGTCCCTCCACACGGCTGACCCCCACATTCTCACTCAATGCCCCCTCTCCTGACACACGGATGACTGCACTCTGTCCCAATGTGATGGGTGGAAGAGGCGAGAAGATTAAGGGTGAGAAGATTAAGGGTCTCTGCCCCCAGGACCCACTCATTCATGGAAGAGGCAGCCTGACTGAGAGAGGCAAAGAGAGGTCAGGCCTGCTTCTCCAGAAGTGCCCTTGGAAAGAGGTGGTCATGACCAGAGCTAAATTCTCTGGGACTGTCCTGGATATAAGTGGAAGAGACTGAGAAAGTCACCTCAAACTTAACAAATGGGCATTTCTGTTGAAATGTGTCCCATGCGTTTATGACTCAGCAACGGCCCCAGGGAACAGAGGTTTCCTAGTGTCCTGGCCACATAGGGAGCAGCTGGGGAGATGGCTCTGTGGGCCTGAGACCTCCACCCACAATTCCTAACTTCAAGATGTTTTAAATGCAACAGAGTTGCCCACACCTCCTTCTGGAGGCATGAAGCACCTGCATAAGCCCTGCATGTCTGTGGGTTTCTTCATCTGCATCCGCAGCACCTTCAGGTGGCTCCTCTCAGGGACACTGAGAAGCAATCTTCAGGACCAAACACCTGAGAAAAGGGACAAGCAGAGAATGTGCCTGGTCCTGGGGTTCTGCTGCTCTCAGGCCAAACTCTGCTTACCAGGAGCCCAGCTCCCAGAGGATTCCCCGACTTCCAACCCATTGCCCCTTGCAGGGTGAGCCCATCTCAGGGTGGCTGTCAGATCCTAGGGCTGCGGACAACTGCTCCTGGCCATGGGGAGGCCTCTCTCAGGCTCAGCCTCCAGCCACAGCCTCACTAGGGTGCAGCCAGCAAGGTGCCTAGGGCACAAAACATAAGGGCACTCCTTCTCAAGCAGGCACTCACCCTACTCCTGGCTGAGCCCCACAGCCACCCTTCACCTTCCCAGCCTCCTCTTGCCTTCATCCTCCCGCTCCTCTAGATCTTAATCCTTCTGTTCCTCCTCTGAAAAATGAGGACCATGCAAATCTCACATGGTGGTACGATGACCAAATGAGATAAAGCTGAAGTTTCCAAACTTTTTTCAGCTACAAGATCCATTGTTTGTTCTTATTTTATGGTTTTCATTTTTTTAAATGCTTATCAAAGCAGTACAGGTTTATAGCTGAATCCTTTGAGGGCTGCTCTGGCAAGACAACGGGGCCTTAGGAGTAAGGAGGGTGGGAGAGTATAAAGACCCTACTTGCGTCAACCTGCAGTGGACGTTCCTGACAATGTGAGAACGTCTCAGTAATGGGTATGCAAGACACCACAACAGTCGGCAGCATTCAGTGGGTACTCAATAATGGCCAGTTGGGCACCCCCAGGCGGCTCAGTCAATTAAGCATCTGCCTTGGGCTCAGGCGGTGATCCCAGCGTCCTGGGATCAAGCCCTGCATTGGGCTCCCTGCTCAGCAGGGAGTCTGCTTCTCCCTCTCCCTCTGCCCTTCCCCCACCACTCATGCTCTCTCACACGTGCAAGTAAATCAATAAAATATTTTTAAAAATAAAAATAATGGCCAGTTGGATCAGAATAAAATCTAAGCTCAACACTACATTGACAGATGAATGGATAAGTAAAGGTGGTTGGTATATCCATACAATGGAATATTATTCAGCCTTTTAAAAAGGCCATCCAGTCATGCACAACTACATGGGTGAACCCTGAAGACATTGTGCTAAGCAAAATAAGCCAGTCACAAAAAGACAAATACTGTACGATTTCACTTATATGAGGTCCCTAGAGTAGTCCAATTCATAAGACAGAAAATAGAATGGTGGCTGCCAGGGCCTGGAAGAGGTGGAAATGGGGAGAAAGTTGCAGTTCTACAAGATGAGAAAGTTCTGGAGACTTGATGCACAATGATGTGGACACAGTACTACAGTACACTTAAAAATGGTTAAAATAGGGGCCCCTGGGCCGCTCAGCTGGTTGAGCATCCGACTCTTGATTCTAGCTCAGGTCGTGAGATTGAGCCTCACATGGGGCTCTGCGCTGGGCGTGGCACCTGCTTGGGATTCTCTCTCTCCCTCTCCCTCTGCCCCTCCCCCACCTCTAAAAAAAAATGGTTAAAATAAAAAAAGTTTAGGGATACCTGGCTGGTTCAGTCAGAAGCGCATGCAATCCTTAATCTTGGGGTTGTGAGTTCAAGCCCCACATCGTGTATAGAGATTATTTTAAATGAATAAATAAATTTTTAAAAATAGTAAAGTTTAGGTTATTGTTTACAATTAAAAATAAATAAAAATAAAAACAAAAGAATCTCTTGGGGGCCTGAGAGAGCACTGGGTGTGAAATCTCAGCATCCCTCTGCCCATCCCAGTTTCACCTAGCTGACTCCAGGTTTCTACAACCAGCTTCAAAGGGGAAAGGAAGTCACAAAAAGCACCGTGGAGGAGGTGGAAGGAATTTGCTTATGAGCTGCTTGGGAGGATTTATGAGATAACTGTCTGTTACATGGGCTGAAGGCCATTTTAAGCATCAA